TTGATTTTTCGATCCTGGCCGGCCCGGCCGGTCTGGCCTGTGGCGGTTCAGGGTCCACGAAAAGAAATGACAAGTCAAACCCTAATGTTGACATTTGTGTCTAGTTGGTGATATAACTGTGAATTGAATTTGGTCATTAATATTTTTAGGTGACATTATCGTACGGGAATTTATTATTTTAATTATAAGGCGTCTTCCAGTGAGGTCCCTGGTAATAATAAAGTCTCAAAATTTCTCATATTTAGGATTTGTTATCTCCTTTATGTCTAAAATTTGTAATTATAAATCTCACATAGAATTTTAGAATCCAATGTCTTTAATACCTAATTATTATAATAGAAAATATTTGTGAGTAGTAAAATGCATTTTGGATTTATCAAGTTATATATGGAACCAGCTGGCTCATGATAATTACTAGTACCTTTCAAATATTTTATTTTACCTTTCCACTGAAAGAAGAAAAAATATAATTAGAAAGAAAAGAAAAAGTCATTAAACTTTAATACTTCCAAATAGATCAACTTTAATTGAAGTCATTACCTTTGTCTAATCAGATAAATTGGATTTTAGTGATGTCTGATAGAGTTTAGTTAGTCTAATTAGATAAACTTGACTTCATAAATAAACTTTTACTTTGCCCATAATTGTAAAAATATCTAATTCCAAGATTCCATGTGAAGTATTGTTACAAAGATTTATTTTTAGGTACAATGAAGGAGATCAAAGGCCTAGAGAATTGGTTAAGCTAGATCACGCCGGGATAAGAAACCCCCCTAAGGTCATGATCAAGTCAGGGACCTAAACCCACAGTGTTGGATTTTAGTCGTACGAATCAATGGCACACGCAGTGGAATTTTAAAAATTTTCTTACCAACAAGAAGATCCGGCTATAGCTATTCGATTTGATCCTAGATCGCGAGAATAACTTACAGTTTAAGCTTTGCCTTCAACTATGATATCCACGCAATCCAGATCACGGTGCACGATCCAACGCAGTGAATCCTTTCCGGTGAAGACGCTAGGAATCCTCAGTCAGAAAGCAAGAAGGAGAGTTTTGTGTTTTGCGGCGTATCTCTATTATCTGATCTCTACAACTGATAAAGAGATACCCACTTATTTATAATTAGGCTAAACCTAATTATATGGGCTTTAGAATAACCTATTGCCCAATAGGTAATTGGACCAATCCAATTAATGATTTTAATTAAGTCTAAGTCCCATTAAGCTTAATTATATATTTTCTACTTAATAGAAAATAATCTCATTACTAAAATTAAATGTTCCAATCTAATTGAATATTTAACACTCTCGATTCACTCTTAGCCGGAAAATATATTGCATATTGTGTGACCTTATAGGCCTTCATATATTGACATAAATCTAATTTATGATCCTTACGAAACTCCTAAATTGCGTCGAAGGACGAACTCAAAATATGACGTACGTTTACATAGACAAAACAAACAAACCTTTAGTGTAGAATTCAATAGTGATACGGTCCCTTCATTCACGAACCACTCGATTAAGCTTAGGACTTGAATGTGTGTCTATCCAAACAGCTTAATCATTTTATCTCATCTTACTGGTTGATTTTATCAATTACATTTGAACACCATTTCAAATATAATCATCTGCACTGGCCAGTGACTTTATCAACCCAGTATAGAGAAAACGAGTGTTCTCTCGAGACTATATTCGAGGAATGAATCCCATCTTGGCTCAACTACCAATTTCATGTATATCATGATCTACCCAACACAAGCCCGTGTCTACCCGTAAGGGTGTAAGCGTTGGACTAGGTCTAAGTAAATCACTCTATACACGAATTGCGTATTGAACTCAAGTCAAAGGACTATTACACCATTCCACACACCGATACT